GATGATGATCATCGTTTACTGAGAATGCAATCTAACTTACATTGTTTATTATATCCAGATGAGGCAAAAGGGGATGACATTGCAGCCTACATTGAATTGACAATGTCTAGGCGAGGCAATTCATCCTTATAATGCAATCTGTAATAAACATGTAAGTTATAGGTGGGGCAATCAATGATGACAAGTTGATCTATTACTGAGCCATACAATATCAATTAGAATTTGTACCCAAGTCAAACAACAGTTTTCATTACATCCTCAATAGTTTTTGCAATTACAAGTACATGACATGAAGTTTGTAATAATTAAAATAACACAAAAAACTGCTAAGAAAATTACCGAAATTTTCCAAGCTAGTAGTTGATTTTCGACAAGTCTCAATTCTTTCTTCAGCTTCTTTGATTGCAGGATATATTTATCTCCGTACCTATTTTCTTTGACATATTGGCTTCCTTGGGTGCTTGATGACTCTCCTCTTTCTTCAGCCCATTCGAAAAAATTGCATTCTTTATTTGGGAATTTTGCACACCCCCAATAACACCTACCCTTATTTTTTCCATTCTTGCACACTTTCATCGGTGTTTGGAGATTGCAGTCGCAATAAACTTCATAATTAGCATGGCACCCTTCTGATATCATCCTGCAGCAAATTGAAGAGCTTGGGAATTTTTTTTGGGTTGAAAAATGAGAAAGATGGGATTATATGTGAGGCCTCAAGGTGTATTTATAGACACCATACCCCTGAAATAGCCGTTGCTACAGTGATTCCTAAGATACAGCCGTTGCTACAGTGTTTGATGCTTGCAAATTCTGATTTCTGGGCTTATTACCGTTGCTACAGTGTCTTTTGCTGGAAATAAGCATTTGGGGGCTTAAATAGCCGTTGCTACAGTGGTTGATGCTTGAAAATCTGTTTTTTGGGTGTTATTTCCGTTGCTACAGTGACGATCCCAAAAAAATTGACTCCTTGAACAAAACTTGGTATTAGGAATTGGAACAATTCTATAAAAGTGGGATTACTAATCCTTTGGGTGAAACAAACATTAAAAGCCAAAAAAGTGGGATTCCATAAAACTCAAACTTGTCTATAAAATTTTTATGGATTAGGTTGGAATCCATAAATTAAATAGGATTCCTAATCCTATTCCTAGTCCTTGGTGAACCAAACAGGCCCTTAGAGGGGGTTATTGGTTAGGACAAATTGGGGTCAAGTGGGAAAATTATTCCAATGGAATAATTTTACCCTTTTGGGATTTTTTAAGTGGGATAAAGTGGGATAATGAGATAATTTGAGCCTTTGATTTGACAATTCATGTGGGATAATTGATGATGTGACACCTTATTAAAATATAATTTTATCTATTAATTACTTCTAAATTAACTTATCCAATTGGTTTAGTATATTATTTAGTATATTATTATAATATAAATATTATTTATTATATTATATTACATTATATTAGTATGTTACATTATATAATAATTGATATAATATATGAATAATATATTTAATATAATACTTTAATAATATATTATTTAATTTAATATATTATAATATAGTATCATAGGATATAATGTACTTTATAAAATATTATAATATTTTACTTTATTCAATGTAATATTTTTTAAAATATTATATTAAAATTAAAATAATATATATATATATAACATGATAATTACAATAATATATATTAATAGGTATCATGTTATAGTATAATATATTATATTATTTCAAACTATAGTATTATATTATATTATATCATAATATTTTACTAATATTAGTAATTATTATATTATATTATAATAGTATGTCATATATATAATAACTATAATAATATTTTATAAATTAATTATATAGTAATATATTATATAATAATATATGTTATTAAAATATTATATAATATTATAATAAATACGTTATACTATAATTACTAATTAATATTATATAATAATATATTGCATAATACTATTAATATATGTTATTAAAATATTAATATATATTATTATATAATATTATTAATATATGTTATTACAATATTATAAAATATTATAATAAATACGTTATACTATAATTACTATTATATAATATTATTAATATATGTTATTAAATTATGTTATTAAAATATTAATAAATGTTATATTTTATATATTATGTTATATATTTATAATATAATTGCATGTATTAGTTAAGTAACACAAAAACATTTTAAAATTATCCCAATTGCCTTCAAAGTGGAACAACATTGTTCCAATATGGAGAATGAGGTAAATTTTTACTATTGGGACAAAATTTTTGTATATGAGTGAGGTAATTTTATCCCAAACGGTGTAATTGTCTCACTAGTGTTCCAAAAAACCAATAACACAAAAATGTATTATTCTTGTTCCATTGTCCCAATGAATAACAATATGAAATAGAATCCCTTAAATTATCCCATTATCCCCCAAAATATCCCAACCAATAACCCCCTTTAGAAGGATCAATTTCGCCCCACTAACTGTTCTTGGCGATCCGACCCGCTCGAGGTATCCTAAAGTGCGCCATATGCATTTTTAATAAGTTCACATTGTTGAAGTGACCCTCTTTGCGTCGTCGCAACAAGTAGAAATAAATACCTCATGCACGTCGGTCCCCAATATTCACTCGAACTTATTATCACCATACCCACCTTGTGCACATTTTTGTGAAATCTATTTGTATCCGCAATGGTTCAACTGTTCTCCTTACGATATCCATGCAACTATGCAACTCAAGGGGGTCACTGAACGCTCGAACCTCCTTATCGGGTTATCCGATATCCATGCAACTATGCAACTCAAGGGGGTCACTGAACGCTCGAACCTCCTTATCGGGTTATC